CGTCCGGCCAAAATTTTTTTTTTAAATAAAAAATAGCAATATTCAACACTGGTTTGAGTGTAAGTGTAATTGATCATCTCATACAATTTGTGGAACTTAATGCGAACTTTATACACCGGTGATTTTGCATTCTGTATTGACAGCCTTAAAAATATCTACCACTTTTGGTCCTGTAATTATTTTTCAGATAATTTATCTTAAAAAATTACTTGTTAGAAAGAGAAAGAGTTTGTAAAAAAAAGGCATCATATGATCACAGATATTAGTAAAATTGGGCAAATACATGTCAAACAATGGGAAAATGAATTTATGGTATAGCCTTTCAATGGAATATTATATAGCCATTTAAATTATTTTAAAAATTATTCTATATTTATTTAAATTATTTACCTTTATTGTCCCATTAAACAGAAGAGGAAGCTGATACACAGGGGGTTTATGCGATTTATTCAGTCACTGAACTAACTAGCAGGATGTGATATCAAGCAGGCTGCCTTCCTAGTCCACACTCTTAATCAATGCACCATACCGCCTGTGTTTGTTAAAACATTACAAAAATGTTTTCAGTAGTTTTATGGGTGTATGTGCACAGGTATATCTGTGGGGGGCTCCTTAATCTCCTCTGTACACTTTCACATCTTCCAAAGTTTCTACAATAAGCGTGATTTTTAAACATCATTGTAAATGACCTTAATGAATTGTAATAGTCTTTTTAAATCCCCAGGTAAAATTCATTTTGTGTAGTCACACTCAGAGTTTTCATCTTGGGATTATCGGCACCCCCTATTTCCAGTTGTCTCTCCGCGGACGCCCTGGGGAGCCTGTGGCTCCGCGTCCAGCTTGCTCACCCGGTCTCCCTGGGCTCCATCCATAGTACCAGGATCCTCACTGTTGAAGTGCGCACTCTAATTTCCCTGCGCCGCTGCAGACAGCTCCCGGGTACAGTTGTCAAGCGTTCAAAGGCCACAGGAACGGAGTCTTCGGACCCTTCCAGGTTTCGGCCCCATGTGGCCTCGCAGATCCCTAGCGGCCGAGAGTTCAAGTCCCAGCCGCTGGCGCAGGCCAGGCACTCACCCGGAAACGCAGCGACTTCCCAAGAGTGGGGCGCCCGCGGAGAAATCCCCTGGGATTGGCAGGGCTGGAGTCGGCCTGCGCCCACTACGTCGCAGAGGCCAGGAGGCCACCGGTGTTTAGAGTTCAGATCTGGGAACCAGCGCCAGCACCCCGCAGTCCTGCAGCGGCGCCCCTTGAGGACGGCACGCGGAGCCTCGGGGGCAGCTGTCTGCCCGGCTGACCATCCGTTATTAGAATAGGACAGTTCCTGAAAACAATGCTTATCTCAAGCTGACTCAAAACTGGCTCTTGAGAAAATCCAGTGTTAATTAAAGAGAGTTGTCGGGGACAAAATTCACGGCTTGTGTTTTGCGGGGGAGTGGTTGTGGGGTGATCGTAATATAAACACGTTATCTCGAGAGTTAATTACGTCTCTGGTTGGAAACAGGAGAAGAGGGTGACTGTTTGTGCAGTCCATGGGAACCAGCGTCTCACTTTCGGGGACCGTGGGCAAGGGTCGCCATTCGATAGCGCGGCGGCTGGTCCACCAGAGAAACCAAGTTTTCTATGTCGCCGGGGAAAAGTGGAAAATTAGACTTGAACCAGCCTTGCTCCTGTGAGACATTCGTGTATTCATATCCCAGCAGTGGGTGCCTCTATCTAGAATGAGCCCTTCATTTCCCGGATCCGTTCAGGGGGAAGCAGCGAAACCCCCAAATCCGCTTCCTTACGTGGCTAATAAAAGTGTGCTTACACAGCATGGAAAAACAAAACAAAACAAAACCAAAAAAAAAAAAAAAAACGAAACAAAGAAACAAGAATACCTTGAGCGTTTTGACGTTTGAAAGCCCGACTCCGGAGAATCATGGAATCATATTCCAACTTTCAGTGTCTAATGAAGTTTAGGGGACGCCTATTACTTGAGTTTGTAAAATCGCGGCGTAGCGCGCGCCCCAAGTCAAAGCTGAGCAGAGCAGGGATGGGGAGGGTCTCCGGCCCCAGGCGCTGCGCGCGGGGCTTCTGCCCAGTTTCCTGCCTCACAGTCGCGGTGTCCGCCCCGGCCCAGAGCAATTTGTGCAATTTGGAAACTCGATAGGAGGCAGCAGCTGGTCTCCCACCACCCTAAAAATAATCCGCTCCGGCGCACTGCGTGCTTCGCCTAGGGGAGGAAAACTGTCATCGGAGTAAGTGAATCCGTGTCTTTTACATGAATGCCATTTAAACATTTTTAGGAATAACTGTAAGCTGTCGATTTTGAGCTAACATTTCTGCTACCCAAAAACGCCCTCGCACTCTCGCACTCTCTCGGCACTTAGCTTTCGCGATCGCTATTTCTAGAATTAAGGGAAGAGGCCCGGCTGGAGAAGTGAAGGAGTGGGGATCAGGTTTCCAGTTTTACTTCAAAACTGCGGGCTCCTACTCAAATCAACTGGAAACAGTGAAAGAAGTTATTATTAGGAGTTATTATTGCCGCCTTTCTTGTATACAATTCTTGTCTTGTTCAAGAATTAGTTTTCTATCTGCTTAATTTTTGTTGCTCTTTGCTTTTTTTAGGAGTTCTGCGTCCGGGTTTGAAATTTACATCTTAAGACAGTGTAGGAAGTCGGTGTTTTGAAGGTAGCTCAAGTGCACCGGCAGGGATTTGAAGCAGCGTGAAGCTATTGCCCGAGGTATTTATTTTTTACTTTATTTGTTTAGTTTGGGATTTTTTTTTAAAAAAAAATCCCATTGCAGTATCTGTCTAAGGAATACCTACTGAGTAATTTCAACATTTCTTTTGGTGTGGGATGGGACTTCACAGCCACTGAAGAGTAATTGGGTGGGTTCAGATCAGACACTAAATCAGAAGTCAGTGGTGATTTTTGCAGTGATTTTCCTACTTGGGTCTGTCATAGTTATAGCCATGGTAGCTAGCTAACTAGCTGTACATTCTCTAGTTCTTATTTCATGAACTAGGGACTGAATAGCTTCAAAGAAGTGATTACAGCATTTGTTTTTGCGAGCGACGTCTATCCTGAAAATGCTCTAGATGATGATAAAGCCCTAAGTTCTTTAAAATGTCCTGTTTCTCTTTTATAACATAATTTGGTTAATCTCTAAACGATTAAAGAATGAATCCTTTTATATGTAAGAATGAAAACTTTTATTTAAGTTTAGCATGTTTTCTCTAGGTGTTTCCAGCATTTTAAGCTCTCTGCAATTGCTATTCGACCAGAACTAATGCTTTCAGTTAGGTGAATAGGAAGGAAGGCAAGTTTTCACTTGCTTTACTTGTAGTCCATTTCCAAAGGATAGGGCTGGCCAAAATAAATGGTGTATCTTATATGCCTCAACACTTAAATGTGTTTTTAGAATTAAATCAGACAACTACTGTTCCTCTCTTACAGAGGAACCAACAGACTGGATAGGTCAGGTATTACATTCACCAACTAAATCCAAAATGTATATGTCCTAGATGTGTGGAATTTCATATAATGAATTTCAAGGAATAAGAACACTGAGGGTGCGATTCTTGCCATGAAATCGTAAGTTAGATAATTAAGAGTATTTCCATTTTATGTTTTCTGCTCCACAGACATACATTAGAAGCAAAATTTCACTTCGATCTTTGTTTTTAAAGTTTATTCAGTCAAGTTCTCCAACTCTATCAACTCTCATAAGCAACTGAACACATTTCAATGGCTTATGCTTCTGGAAAGGAAAACATTATATCTCCCTGTCTGCCCTCCCTTCTCTCTCCCTCCTTGATGCTTGGGCCTCCATCAGTGCTCAGCTGAATCTAAACAACTCCAGAAGGGGTGGAGCTGAAGGATGTCAGGTGATGGAGTTTAGCCATCAAGAACAGCGATTTATACCCTTCCCCAAACATTCCCAGTTGAACCTGGTGTCTGGGAGGGAAACATTAAATGACAGGTGGAAATTTCAGGATTAGAAACGTGGATTGAATAAAATGCCTTTGATAAACATAATAATTATCAATATATCAGCAATAAGTTTACTGCCTCCCTCTTTTTGTCCATGTTGGGTTGTAATGGAGGATGGCTGTTAGAATGTGCCATACGGACTCTGGATGTTGGATAAGGAGACTACGGGTTAAAGGGAAAGGATAAAGGAGCAGTCAAATGAAAAGGTGAAAGGAGACCTGCGGCAAGGTAATGGACAGGTTCAGAGCTGGCCGGAAATGTGAAGTTAGAGTTTATGGCAGACAGAAAAATCATTCTAAAGCGTTTACTTTACCAACTTCAAGTTTACACCTTTGTATGATTATATCATTGCCTATTTTCCTATCTTTTAGATCATATACCCCTACAATATACCCACAGCTACTGAGACTACTATAATCTGATTTATATATTCTAAAACTACAGGCACTGTTTCTGACATGCACCATTGGATTCCTAGTAACTAGCGCGTGGTTAGCATCAGTAAGTGTTTTTACAGTTAATTAGTTAATGGCATAGAGTTCCAGATATCTAGTGTATGTCTGAAAATATTCTTAAATTTTTCAGGTGATTGTACTTTTCTGAGATTTTCTTTCCAGTTACACACAACATTTATCCAAAGGCGATTTAATTGGTAGATTTCAGGATTGATTAAACATCAAACAAGCAATGCTTATAGCTAATGAAGGGTGTAATTTGCAAAGCTGCAGGTTACACTTTAGCATCGACCTCAATGATACTAGTTTATAAATGTGGCCAACTGGAATATTATAATTTTGGATAATGTTATAAAAGTTGCTAAAGTAAACATTATTTTCTAGTTTGTGCAAGGAAAGTTTATATATGTCTTTCAATTAAGAGTAGGCTTTAAGTTTCCTTTTTATCATTTCTACTAAATAAAGGAAGTAGTCTAAAAAATTTCATTACTAGCTATTAGTTTTTAGTTTTGTTTTTGTCTGTCTTTGCCAGAAATATACCTAACATACACCTATAAATTCATAACTTCCATTTTGCTGTTGTTTAAAAACTTCAAGTCCCTTTTATTCTTTTATCCAGATTAAAACCTTACTAGCTTGTAAGAATTCACCAAGTGTATAACTTAACCTTGAGGTTTTAAAAATACAACTTTTTTTAAAAAAAAGATGGAGGACAGACTCAACTAGGGAGCATATCAATTATTTATTATAAAAAGAGCTTATCAGGAACAACATGTGAGAGGCATTCTGTATAAGTATTTAAGATTGTAAATACACAGACTCTTTAGCTGAGGTATTCATATAATGCTTTATAAAACCTTTGCTTGAAATTTGATTTCTCTAATAATTTACCTACCGTTGACAACCTTTTCTGTATAACACTCTGTTTTTCCTAGGGAAAGTATTGTTTGTAACCATTGCTAAATCAATTATCAATGAAAGGAAAGAAAGAAAAGGTACTATGCTAGTTAAGAAAAATTTTGCCGGCCTTTAGTAATGCAACTCAGAATCCAGTGTGACATAAATATAGAAAGGAAACGAGGTCTAGTGAGGTTAAAATCTTAAATTGCTTCTTGGTTTAAAGAATAGATACGATACTTTCTTCAAAAAACAGGTTGGAGGTTGTGTAATACAGTGGAAAGAAATAGTTTATAAGTCAGACATTTGGGTGTGGGCTTGGCTGCTCTACTGGTTGGCAAGTTACTGAACTTATCTGGACCTCAGTATCCTCCACTGTAAAAGATGAATAACACCACTAGTGTTACAAGGTTGTTCTGAGGATTTAAGATATGCAAAGTGCCCAGAATTTAAATAAGTAGTAGGCATTATAAAATAAGTTTTCAGAATGTTAAAGCTTTTCCTGGAATTTCACAGCAGTATTTTGATGGAGCAGACCTTTGCTCATCTCCCATCTGTTTCAGCACAGCAATAATAGAGAACCATTTAACATGTAAGTGAGAGCATGTCACTCCTCTGCCCCAGAAACCCCAGTGGCCCACTTCACTAAGAGTAGAAGCCACAATCCTGACAATGACTTACAAAGCACGGTGTGACCTTGTCCTCTGTTTCCTCTCTAAACTCATCTACTTCTACTCATGGAGTACCAATTTCCAATTAAAAGACATTCTGCGTTTCAAACTTGAGTAGAGTGTATTTCATGTGAGAATATTCTAACTATGGAATCTGAGTAGTTTCATTGACTTGTCATTTGAGTTAGGTTTAATTCATCTTGAGCATTTGATTTTTAGTATTCTTCAGGGAAAGACCGATTACTCTTAGCCATTACTGCAGGCATATACTGTTCTCTGTATATTAGTATTTCCCACAACTAGTGAAATGTTTCAGGAAACTCTGTCACAGTTTACTGAACAACTTTAGTTGTTTATTAGTACATTTTCAGTGAGTATGGGAAAATATTTGAAATTATATCATTTTGACTTTTTAGTCATTGGTTCAATTTTTTTCCTTCTTTTTCTTAATATAGACCATTCTTGTTCTTTGAAAGCATTTTAGTCAGATACTCATTTGAGGTACTACTATAGGTAGACATTAATTATAAACATTTTCCACATGAAAGCATTTTTCTCTGGAAGTAAAAGCTATGGAAAAGAAGATCTCATAGGACGTATAAGGCGTTTATAAGAAACCTTCAAGTTGCTTTGGCACAGTTTCTTATTTCCTCAGCTATCAAAATAAAAGGGATTGATTTTATGATATGGCCTCCTATTCAAGGCTATAATTTTATGAACACGAGTTTACTAATAAGGGGATTTTTCTTTCTCATTTCTCTCCCTTTTAGAGTAAACCATATAAGAAGAAATGAGCCTTTCATTTTGTGGTAACAACATTTCTTCATATAATATTAATGATGGTGTATTACAAAATTCCTGCTTTGTGGATGCCCTCAACCTAGTCCCACATGTCTTTCTGTTGTTTATCACTTTTCCAATATTGTTTATTGGTAAGTAATCTAATGTCCTATGTTATACCACGTGATGTTTATATATCTCACTAATGGCTGAGATTTGGGATAATGTTGACTTAATTTCTCTAACATGGAAGCTGATGGCTGTGAGAAATGAACAAGCAAGTATTTTGTGTTTTTCAAACATAAATTTTTGACAGGTGATCTTCCATAGGTGAAATTGAGGTCACATGCTTGCTTAGGAATGGCCTTCAGGTAGCAGCAGCAGTTTTTTAAAAAGAAGGAGAGAGAAATACATGAGATAGATTTACAGCATTAGTTGAGCACTTCCTTTGGGTTAGGTAAAGGGAATGGAAAATGAATGAAAGAGTACTTGCTTTCAGGGAATAGTCCAGGGGGCAGATGTGTTAAAGTCATGAGAAATGACTATGCCACATTGTAAGTCTGTTTACAAGTACAGGAACAAATTAACCTGCTGAAACAACTCACTCTTTGGAGGTGGTGGGGAAGAGAATGAGTGACATGTTTGGGGAATTGGAAGATGCCAAGCATGCAAGTTACAGTGGCAGTGATGAGGTTGTGTTTTATGTAGAAAGAGGACATTCACAAAGTATTTGGAAAGAAGTTAATAATACAGTTTTGTCTTATTTTACAGTTTACATATGTACAAAATCTGATAATTAAGGGCAATTATGAATAATTTGTATAACTTACCCAAACAGACTCTTTAACTTTTTAAAAATTATGAAGTATTTTGATACATAAAATGATGGAGATTAATAGAATAAAAATCCTTTGAGCCTACCAACGCTCACCTAAAGAATATAGAAGTAAGAATGAAAGGGCCTGTCTCTGCACACCATTTTCTGGTCTTGTTACTCTTTCCATATCCTATGTTCCTATCTTTTCACAGAGGCAACCACTATTTTGAGTTAATTGTGCTTAATTTTTTCATGCGTGATGTTTTTCCAATTAAATAAGTGAAAAAGTTTTCAGATGCATTTTCTTAAGAAAACTAGCAAATTTTAATTATCTGCTTTAAGGGAATGTTTGAAAATCATTCATATGCTTTTATTTATTCATTTAACAAATATCAATTGAGAGGATACTATGTGCTTGGCATTATTCTAAGAGGGATTAAAGAACTCATCATATGATATATACACAGGACAACATAACTCTTGGTACATAGTTACATTAAACAAATGTACAGATGCTAAATATATTGAGACCAGAGTGGCCATATGTAGAAACATCAGTCGTTGTTTATGTAGTATTATTTGTAGGTCATGAAGAATACCCTTTGTCCAAAAGTAGAAAAATGGATTTTTTAACTGTAATTCCACAATTAATAATTCCCCAATTATTGACATCTGGTTAACTTTTTGAGAGCAAGAACAGTGACATTCCATTCTGTATCCCTAGCATCCAGCACAGAGGCTGGCACCAGTGTATTTGAATAGAATAGAATTGGAGGGGACATTGTTAAAGGGAAATAGAAAAAATTCAGACTTTTTATTTATGACATTGGCTACTTGAATTAGTGAGGGATCACAAATCAATCTTAAAAAACTATCAGGTACTAGGAAAATCATAAGGTTGCAAAAAAAAAGACATAGAACTTGCCTATGGGAGTTTACAGCATAAGTTCTAGTAGAATATATTAAATATAACTAACCTTCCATTGATGAATAAATTGAAAACAACTAAGACATGAATATTCATTTCAAATCAAAGGGGCATCTGTTGCCCCTACAGAAATTCTTTCCTGCAATATTTCAAGCACAAACCCCCATTCATTCTTGAAGTAGGTGGGGCTTTTTTTCTATAGTCAAAAAATGAGAAAAAAAGGGGACAAAAGGAGACAAAAGTGGGGCCCCCTAGTACACCACATATGAACTAGTATTACTCTACATAGTAACTAAACTATAGAGTAGTTTAGGGAGGAAACCATCAGAATTTTACTAACATACAATCTTGAATTGTTTTCTTCAGTGGCAAGCTAAGGGTGGACCTATAATGGTTTTGAGCCTGCTTAAAAGCTCACCATCAAGAACTTTAGCTTTCTTTGAGAAAAGTATCAGTACTGCTTGTTAATAACAGTGCCTGGCTAGTCATACATAACAATTTTTCTCATATGATGTGCATATGATTAAGAGTTGACTCAACTAATGAGTACCGTATTTTGTAACCAAGTATGTCTTTCCTTGATTTGTCCCCTTGTAGATTTCATGTCTTCAAAGATTTTCTACAGTAAATTTCATGTATTATCATCAAGTTATTTCCTTTTGAATTAATCAGAAAGCTGTCAGGAAGAGCTTCCGATTAGCATGAGGTAGAACCATGTTGTCATCCAGAGTTGGTATTATTCCTGAGTAATGCCACAAATGTTGATGTGTTAGCCTTGGTAGTCTTGTAAAGGTTAATTGTAAATTTTATTAACAACAAAAATAGACTAGGATTTCCGTTGCTACTCTAGAAAGTATTAAGGTTTCAGGACCTCCCCTTAAAGCTTACCATAATTTAAATTATTTTTATTACAGTGGAGCCTTTGGTTTATGTCTTTTTTTTTTTTAATTTTCTCTTTTTTCCAGGGTGGGGGAGCCAAAGCTCAAAAGTACAAATTCACCACAACACATGGCTTCATTTTCCGGGACATAACCTGAGATGGATTCTTACATTCGCTCTCCTGTTTGTGCATGTCTGTGAAATAGCAGAAGGCATTGTTTCAGACTCGTAAGTGATCTAACTTTAATAATACCACTGCAGTATACCAGCGGGTATATTGATTACACAAGTTCACGTCTTTGTAACTTGTGCTCATACATATGCTTTATATTTTTTGCTCTCTGATCCATGTAGCTCTTGCAGGAAGTTCTTAGGTCTTTTTGAACTTTTTAATGTTAAAAATAGGTATAAATTGAAAGATTGTCTACATTTACACGCAGGTCTAATAGCTTTATACTTATGTTAATATATTAATCATTTCTCAGATGTTTCCATTTATTTTTTAAAGAAGCAAAGATAGATGAGTCAGGATGAATGAGTCTGAGAATCAGTGAGGATAGAGCTATAAATTGATGCAAAGCACAAACTGTTTTAAAATCAAGATTTGTAATAAAATCCATTTTTTTAAACTTTTATTTTAAGTTCAGGGGTACAAGTGCATGTTTATTATACAGGTAAACTTGCATCACAGAGGCTTGTTGTACAGATTATTTCATCACCCAGGTATTAATCCTAGTACCCATTAGTTGTTTTTCCTGATCCTCTCCATCCCCCCACCCTCCACTCTCCAAAAAGCCCCAGTGTGTGTTGTTTCCCTGTGTCCATGTGTTCTCATCATTTAGCTCCCACTTATAAGTGAGAACATGTGGCATTTGGTTTTCTGTTACTGTGTTAGTTTGCTAAGAATAATGGCCTCCAGCTCCATCCATGTCCCTGCAAAGGATATGATGTTGTCGATTTTTTCTGGCTGCATAGTATTCCATAGTGTATACGTACCACATTTTCTTTATGCAGTCTATCACTGATGGACTTTTAGGTTGATTCCATGCCTTTGCTATTTTGAATAGTGCTGCAATGAACATATGCACGCATGTATGTGTCTTTATAATAGAATGATTTATAGTCCCATTACCCAATAATGAGATTGCTGGATCAAATGGTATTTTTGTTTTTTGGTCTTTGAGGAATCATCTCACTGTCTTCTACAATGGCTAACCTAATTTGCATTCCAACAAACAGTGTATAAGTATTCCATTTTCTCCACAATCTCACCAACATCTGTTATTTTTTGACTTCTTAATTGTCGCCATTTGACTGGTGTGAGATGGTATCTCATTGTGATTTTTATTTGCATTTCTCTAATGATCAATGATGTTGAGCTTTGTTTTCATATGATTGTTGGCCACGTATGTGTCTTCTTTTGAAAAGTGTCTGTTCATGTCCTTTGCCCACTTTTATATGTTGTTGTTTGTTTTTTTCTTGTAAATTTATTTAGTTCCTTATAGATGCTGGATATTACATCTTTGTTGGATGCATAGTTTGCAAACCATTTCTCCCATTTGTCTTTTTACTCTGTTGATAGTTTCTTTTGCTGTGCAGGAGCTCTTTAGTTTAATTAGATCCCATTTGTCAATTTTTGCTTTTGTTGCGATTGTTTTTGGCATCTTTGTCATGGAATCTTTGTGCATACCTATGTCCTGAATGGTATTGCCTAGGTTGTCTTCCAGGGTTTTATAGTTTTGAAAATTCATATTTTTAAAGGAATTTTGTTATTTTTATAAAATAAGAATAACATTAGGTTATACTAATAATAGTATTAGGCAGTTAAAATATAATGAATTATATTTATAAACTTGAACATAATCTGGTGAAAATATTTTTCTTATACAGTAACAAAATAAACTCAAGAATAGGAAATTTTTGATTATCAAATTATGCTAAATGGTGTACCTTTCATTGAGGAATTAATATTAGAAGGCCTTTAAATTTTTTGATAGGAAAATTCTAAAATTTATTTTCTTCTTATCGGACGGGAACCTCCCTGACATCTGTTTATGTTTTCTGTTGCAATTAACAAGGAATGAAGCTCCTAAGCTTTTGTCATGGAACCAACTATTTTGTAATGTTTTATAAGGATTTTTTGCAGATATCTGGGTGTCTTAAGAAAAATTAGAGACTCTAATAGATGCCATCCCTCCAGGCATTTAGAAGCTTAATTGGATATTATCTTATTGGTAACTGTTTAAAATTCTGGTATGTTTATTCTAGCATAGCCAATTCTAGGCTTAATTTTTTAATCTCTTTAGCGTTTAGGCTACTGTATCTGTTTATGTGTGTATGTATAAAGTAGAAGATAGATCATCCAATATTTTTTTGGAACTTGACATCATGTGGACAAAGGAGAACTCCTCTGGTTGATTTAGTCAGGTCCTCAGAAAACACAGACTGAACGAATAATAATAATGATATATTCTAATGGTAGAAACTTATTTGTAATGGTCATGATAAAAGAGGTCCTAAAAACAGGTAAAAATATACCCTTGATTCTGTGCTATGCTCTTCTACTCTTTAGGTATAGACTTATCCTTACCCTTTTTATCCAGGCGTTTCAAAATGTCATCGTCTAGTTACATCTAAATCCAAACATTTAGTTTTGCTTTTTCTCTTGCCCCATCTTGTTCTGGAAACTGCTTCTGTAAGAATCCTCGTGGTTATTAATGACAACTAATGGAGACTCTTTTGTCTTTATCGTAATTATTACTTACGACACTGCTGATCATTCCATCTTTCCTTTTTTTAAGTAAAACCCTTATGAATTATTTACTTAATATATGACAAATGCTCATTACAATTAGAAAAACAATGCAAAAGGCTTTCTTAATAGAATATTTGGTTTTGTTTTTTAGTAATACAAACATTTAAAGCTAGTAATTTTTCTTTTGGAACATCCTTTATTCTGCACGGGCTTTTGTTCTCCTTTATATTTCTACCTTTGATTGCAGTTTAGATACTCTCCTAGGTTTAGGAATCCTTTTCAGATTGCTCTTTTGCTTAATTTGATTGGTTTATTATTAAAGCATGTAGTTTGTAAAATGATTACTCTTTGCAGTTTATTAACATTTTTATTATAGTCAAATACTTGATTATTTTATAAATATTTAGCGAGTATTAGAAAGTAATATATACACTTTGTAGGAGACACAATTTTATTGCGTTTACTGATTGTATTACCGAAGTTCTGTATGTTGCTTGTTTTTGTACTATTTAATCTGTCAAATTCTAAAAGCAGTGTATTAAAATCTTCATTAATGTGTTTTTATTAGGTTTTTACTTTTATCATTTTCTCTCTTTTGAAGTGATTTCTTTGACCTTCGCAATATAATACTTAAAAAATTTCTTTCCAACATTCTGACTAAAGATTTTCTGCTGTAATGGGACATACGCGCTCCTACCAAGCCATTGAGGTCTGCAACTCATACTCTGAAAAGAACATAGCTGAAGGGAAAAAAATAGCATTGGAGTACTATTCAAAACCTATGCAGCTTTGTAAACACAAACTAACAAAATAACAGCAATCTTATAAAAATACTAGCATGGTTAAAAGACATGTTAAATCCCTAATAAAGGTGTGCCACAATAGGTACAAAACTTTATTGTAGCTGCTGTTATCTGTATTCTTTGTTATTGTTTCCCTTAATAATGGTTTGTCATTCTTTTTCTAAAATCTTAAGTTGACTTTTTAATTTATTTATTATAATTATTTCTTATTGAACCTGTTTAAGGTTATAAACTTTCTTATGAGTATGGTTGTGACCACATTTTACAGGATTGGATAGGGAGTGTTCTCACTTTAAAATTTCCTAAATAATATTAGTAAGTGAATTTTGGTTTCCTTCCTCCCTCCCTCTTCTCTTCTCTTCTTTTTCTTTTCTTTTCTTCTTTTCTTTCCTTTCTTCCTTCCTTCCTTCCTTCCTTCTTTCCCTCCATCCTTCCTTCTTTCCTTTCTCCCTCCCCTCCCCTCCCTTCTCCTTTCCTCTCCTTTCCTCTTTTTTTGAGACAGAGTCTTGCTCTGTTGCCCAGGCTGGAGTGCAGCCATGTGATCTCGGTTCACTGCCAAGTCTGCCTCTCGTATCCAAACAATCCTCCTGCCTCAGCCCCCTGAGTAGCTGGGAGCATAGGCATGTGGCACCACACAGGGCTAATTTTTGTATGTTTAATAGAGATAGAGTTTTACCATGTTGCCCAGGTTGGTCTCAAACTCCTGGCCTCAAGTGATCGCCCGCTTCAGCCTTGCTAAGTTTAGGGATTACAGGCGTAAGCCACCACGTTCAGCAGGATTCTTTCTCTGATTCAATAGTCAGAGAATATTAGAAGCATTTCCTAATTTCTGTGCTGACAAAATAGTTATCTATTTTTTCCTCTGATGATTTTGATCTATTTACAGGAGATGGCAGGTGGTTTTTAAGTGCTACCCTACTACTCTCACATTTTTATTACCATGTCTATATTAATGATTCCAAATTATATCACTGACCATGTTCCAAATCTCTACAGACACTTACAATTCCATTTTCCTCCTTATTAGACATCTTCACAATCCATAAATGTCTAGTGAAACTTATTAGTTCCTCTTTCCAATCTGCTCATCCTCTTAAAATCTTATTTGGTCACACAGCCATCCACACAGACACCCTAGGAATTATCTTCTACTTCTCTACTGCCATCACCCTCATACCCTAATGCTGGTAAACTCCTGCCCATTTTAACAATCAATCTTTTTCCAAATGTATTATTTCCTCCGTGTTACTGCTGCCAAAGCTGAAGTCAAACCTTTATCATCTGTCACACGACTTTATACCCATAGCTTCCTAACTGCTTTTCTTCCTTCTATTTCACTCCCTCCACTACAAACTCATGTATTATCAACCAACTTTCTTATCCACATGATTGCTAGAGTTATCCATTTAAAACAAATCTGATTATACCACTTACCATTCAAGTGTTTCAGTTTTCCATGGGTTGAGATGCCAGCCTCTTACCATGGCATACAAAGCCTTCTATGAGGCATTCTATCTTAAACGTTCCGTTTCAAGAATATTAAAATACTTGGAATTTTGAACATGTTGAATTGTTTCATGCTTCTATGTACTTGCCCATTCTGTTCCTTTTTTGAAATGACCCTTTTCCTGACCAGTGGATTCTTTTTCCTATTTCAGTTCCCATTGTCAACCATGCCTCTCCTGGAATGACCTTCTCAGTGTTCTCCTTTCCCCCAGAGAAAGTGGTATAGTCACTCTCTTCTCTATACCATTTATGTACTAATATCTTCAAGTAATTTGAGAAAAACAAAATGTTTTACTCTGTGGCATTATTAATGCCAATGGAGTTGAGGGCTGTCCACTATACTCATGTGGTCTGGAACCACTGGTTCGCCTGGTGATCTCTGTTGCCTTCAGAGTGAAGTCTATTCTCCTTGCAGTCATGCTGAATTGTTTGCAATACCCTTGAACACACTGGCCCCTCTGCCTGGAACTGTCTTCCTCTCTTCTTCTTCTGAGTAGCCATTCCTCATTCTGAAAGTGTCAGTTTGGAAGTCACTTCCTTCTCAAAGCTTTCTCTGTCCCAGACGTGCAATCTGTGTTTTCACACTGTCCCTTCAGCTGTGTTGTAATTTCCTATTTGCTATTGGTATCCTCAATATACTAGATTTTTTCTTTGACTACAGATGTTACATTTTGTTTTCTTCATTGTTGCATCTAAGAACCTAATACAGTATCTGGACCAGCAATCACAGATGCATTGACTGAATTAATGAGAATGGAGAAATCACTGAAGACTATTAAGTTGGGAGTGCTGTCAAAGGAACAAACACACTTTTCACCCACATTGGAGTTCGGATTGAGTTAACTGTTTTCACTTGCTTTAGTTGTTAAATTATTTCAGCAGGTCTGCCCTACAGTATAGGAGTAGCTATACATTTGCTTTTGTTGTAAGCATTTTAAGGTATAGTTTGATTGTTTACTTGACCCTTCATGTTAAGATAAATCCTTTCCGCAGAACTATGTCTTTCAATATATTCTTCCCTTATGTATTATCTTGGAAACTACTATTGCATTCTGTATTTTAAACATCTTATTGCCAAGAGAGAGTTCTTATGAAAAAATTGGGAAAAAATGGGAAGTTATCTGGAACCATCAGTTTTAGGCATTGACTTTGTACTGTTCTTTGTAGGCGACGGGAATCAAGGCACCTCCACCTCTTTATGCCGGCCGTGATGGGATTCGTTGCCACTACAACATCAATAGTGTATTATCATAATATCGAAACATCAAATTTTCCTAAATTACTTTTAGGTAAGTATGATCACTTTTGTTGTTTCTCATTAAAGAGCTATTGTTTTTTTTCCCCCAAAGGTTGTTTTTCTTTTTCCTCAGAGTAAATACTATCAGAGTGTGTGGGGAGTAGAAAGCATGGGAAAACCACAGTGATTAATTCTCCTGTAGCTGCCCAGTAAATGTGGGGTTGAAGATAAGCTGAGTTGCTCTAGGCTGTGAAAATTCCATACCCCCAGGTCATTTCTTCTGCCATAAACACTCTCTGTGGTGTGTCTGTATGTAGCGGGGGAGGAAAGTGGAGGGAATGTGCTGGCCTTCTGGCTTATAGAAGTTGTATTTTAAGAATCAGAGCTCTTGTGAGGAGCTGCTGCACCATGCTGCCCTGTGAACAAGTCATCTCCTCTAGTTCCAGGTGTTTCTGCCTCTGGCTTGGAGTCCAAGGACATTTTCCCAATGTCCTTTTGCTGATGCTGTGGGAATGCCACATTTTCCTAAAATTACTATGTAGCAGACTATGTGTCATAGCATAATGAAGAGTATGCTGTCCTGAGGAGCAGCTGCCTTTAAATCATAGCCTTTCACACCTGCATTGTGACTACAATTGTTTTATTTGCCTCTCTTGCCTCCTTGTTCTGTGGAAATCAAAGGCTATCTAAAATATTCCTAATTTTATTTTTGCCTTGGGTCAAAATTATGTAACTCACCTATATTAGTTATGTTCAATACTCTGACCCGTCACTGTATTCCTTGGAGTATACTTTCTTTCTTAAAGAGATAAAGGTATGGAACAAGGATCATAGATGGGCTATGAACCTCCTGAAATTGTAGTTTGAATCATGTGTTTGTGTGAATGATGCTTACTGTTTCTCATTTTATTTGGTTGTTGTATAATGAAAATGATGTTGACTAATGATATAGAAATTAGGAGAAGAAATAATGAAAACACATACACAGTATTTTATTCATTCATCCTGAGTACACTAAAATTGAAAATGGATGCATGAAAAATACTGATTATTCTATGTTGTGTCACATTATATGATTGTTAAAGGCAATCTAATAAAAAAGGTACAAAGGGTTACATATTAATTTAAAAGGCTGTCAAATTTTGAATTATCTTAATAGGAAGGTCTTTTGTACAAAATGGGAGGCAGACACTATTGCAGAAGTCTGAAAATGCCAAAAAAAAAAAAGAAAAAAAGAAATTTCCAACAGGTAGCTGCAAAAAATATATAAAACTGAGAATTTAATAAGCTAAATATACATTTTTGAAAAGTTGATGGTAATAAAAAATGTTATAACTAGAAAGGAATTTAGGTATTAATAATGTTTTGAAGGAAATGCAATCGGAAGAGGCCTATTATTGTTATGTAGGTGCAAGACAGCACAATTTGATCATATTGCTGGAAGGACACGGGGATAAAGTATAATATTTCTTGTTATTTTAACAGAGAAAAATTTGAACCTAGGGAAGTTTCTGATTTTAAGACCACAAAGCTAGTAATTTTGTCTCAACATTTCATTATGAAAATCACCAAATGTACAGAAAGTTGAAATAATCATGTGAATTCCCACTTACCCAACACATGAATTCTTCAAATTACATTTGTTCTCTTTGTTTTATCACATATCTACATCTTTTCGTCCTTCTATTCATACCTCTCTCCATCTTAGTTTTGATGCATTTTAAGGTAAGTTGTAGACATCAGTATGCATTACCTCTGAATGCTTCATGCATATCTTTTTGTGAGACAAAATTCATATATGTGAAACACAGAGATCTTAATTTGCTAAATGTATGTACCTATATAACCCTACCATGACATAACTATCATCCATGCAAATTTTCTTATACTCAATTTCACCTTTATAGAGGCAATATCTGTTCTGATTTTTACTCCTACCATGGATTAGGTTTGCCTGTTCTAAAACTTCATGTAAATTGAATGACACAGTATAGACTTTTAAGTAAGGCTTCTTTTTCTAAGCATGATTTTTTGATGCTCATCAGTGATGTAGTATAGATCAATATTTTGTTCTTATAATTGCTGTATTTCATTGTATAACTATATCATCATAGTTTTTCAATCACTTGTTAATAGACATCTGTACTATTTCCAGGTTTTAGCCATCATGAGAATAAAAGCTGCTATCAACATTCTTAACAAGTATTTTGTGGCTATATGCATTTGTTTCTCTTAGGTAAATACCTAAGAATGAAATCTCTGGGTCATAGGATAAGTGGGTAAATGTTCATATTTTAAGAAACTGACATCTTTTCCCAAAATGGTTGTATTGTTTTTTTATACTCACTAACAAGGTGTAGGAGTTCCAGTTCCACATGTTCATCATTTGGTGATCTTGGTCTTTCTAATTTAGTCATGCTAGTGGGTGTTTACTGGTAACACATTGTGGTTTTAATTTGCATTTATCTGATGGCTAATTATGTTGAACACTTTTTGATGAGTTTATTGGCCATTTTTAATCTTTGGGATGTGGCTATTCATATCTTTTGCCCATGTTTCATTGGGTTGCACTTTTATTATTGAGTTGTAGGAATATTTTGCACGTACTAGATATTAGTATGTCATCAGTTACGTGTTTCGAGAATGTTTTCCTTCTAGTCTGTGGCATACATATTCATTTATTTAATATGGTCTTTTAATGAGCAGAAGATTTTTAACTTTGATACAGTATAATTTATCATTTCTTCTAGTCCTAAGTTACTGCTTTCTGTGTCTTAAGACATCTTTGTCTTGCCTCTAAATATGTTTTCCTCCTATTCTCCTGTTTGCTTTCAGATGTTTTATGGTTTCCATTTTTATTTTTAGGACTATGATTCATTTTAAATTAATCGTGTGTATGGTGTAAGGTAGGTGTCAAAGTTCTTCTTCTTTTTTTTCCAAGTGATTATCAATGTGTCCCAGCACCACTTGTGGGATAGACTTTCTGTTTCTCACAAGATTGCATTGGCGCTTCTGTAAAAAAAATTAAATCAAATGACTGTTTAATCTGTTTTTGCTCTATTTACTGTTTCTTGGATGTGTTCATAGATTTTTATGCCACTAACATTTTCTCTTGCTCTGGAGTTCTTTAAGTCATAAATTATAAGACACACAGCATTTTCTTTGTTTTTCTCCGAAGTTTGCTTTGGCTATTCTAATTCTTTTGGGTTTCTATATACAGTTTAGAATCAGGTTTACAATTTCTTTTTTTTTTAATTTATTTTTTATTATTATTATACTTTAAGTTCTAGGGTACATGTGCATAACGTGCAGGTTTGTTACATATGTATACTTGTGCCATGTTG